ACAGGTTTCTTGCATGTGTAATTTACACAATTATGTCAAAATTGCCTTTTTCCATCAAAGTAGAAGCTGTCTGTTTCTCCATGCATGTGGTATTATTATGTTTTACTTCCTTACTTTTTGCGACATTTTCTTCTAATTGGCATCATGCTCACCTTTCTGCTTCCAGGAGGTTAGAGTCAAATGGTGGGGTTTTGCCAGTTTGGGTTTGAGGTGTTTTGTTTGTTAAATCTGTGGAAGCTAGGCATATCTCTGAGTGTATTGGATCGATATTGTTAGATCCCTGGATTCAGGCACCAAAATAGAAATGGCCTTATTTTTATAGGTGTTCTACAGCAATGCCTCTCACTGCTTGGTAGCCTCTTGCACATTTCTTCCTTCTCAAAGTTTAAGTTGAGTCTCCTTTGAATGTTTGCCAGTAGTGTTTGATTGGATTGGAATAGCTGCAAATAAAGCAACAGTGAAAGTAAATATAGAAAAGTAAATGTACAGATATATTCTAGAGCAGACATCTTCTGTAGGCTGTGTGCAGTGTTGCTTCATTCATTGTATGACTCTCTACTTTAGTCATAACTGATTATGACTGGCCAGCCTTTGAGTTCAGCCTTAGAGAATGTTTCAAGCTATAAATGTTTATTAACTGCATTCAGGATGACCCTTAGAGTGCTGTTTCCCACATTTCATACATTTTTCGGTCCTGATACATAAGTAGCAGTGACCTTGGATAAGATCTGACTGGCTTAGAGCAAGCATTTGCAAAATAGTAGGGCAGGCAAAGTACAGATTTCTTCAGTCCTGCAGCAGGGATAGTACTAGCTTATAGACACAAGGCTGGCTTGCATTTTCAGCCTGAGGTTCGATTTGCTACATGCAGATATTCAAAGTAAGGCAGTAGCTTTCTTGGAATGCTATAGTGAAGTATTACTAGTCCCAAGTGAATTAGTGGCTATGAAAAGGTGTTCAATGCTAGGATTTTATTTTATACATTTTTCTTATGAATCAGACAGGTTCTCGTCCATCTAATTGTACTTTGGGGTCAGTGCTTGGCTGTCATTTTTGCATCTCTCTGGCCTGTCTTGACGTGGGGTTGCACTGGAACTAGTTAGTGCTTGAGAAGGCTCGGTAGTCAATTTCCAGCTGTCGGTGGTGGTTATGACTTGGCTACCTTACCCTTGGCTTTTAAAGTCAGCCAAATACATACACAGATACCACTTACCATGTAAAGTGGGAGGTTATGAATTCTGGTCTTTGACTTTCTTTTTACTTCTTCAAAGTTAATTTTGGCTTGTTAATGTGGTAGGATTTTTTTAAACACCCTTGATTTCAGTTCAGTGTGTTTGTTAGTCATTAGTGGTTTGGGTTTTTGTTTTTTGGTTTGTTTTTTTTTTTCCTTTGGTGAGTAGGATCATAAGAGAAGAGTTTGAAAGAAGATTTGCCAGGCAATAAACTGGGAAGGGAAAGTTGGAAGAATCATCAGTTGTTCTGGTTTGGCTGTGGTCTCATTTTATTGTACCATTAAGTAGTGTCAAGTGTGCTGCTTGGATCAGGTGAATGAGATATGCAACACGAAGTCTAGCAAGCATTACTGTTACAGTAGGTATTATTTCAAATAATTTAATAGCCAATTACACCAAATTATTTTTGTACTGAGAAGTGGTGAATGCTCCATCCCTGGTAGTGTTCAAGGCCAGGCTGGACAGGGTCTTGGGCAGCACGGTCTAGTGCGAGGTGTTCCTGCCCATGGCAGGGGGGTTGGAACTAGATGATCTTAAGGTCCTATCCAGCCCTAACCATTCTATTGATAGTGTTCTGGAATTGCTACCTTACCTAAGGTTTGATAGTGCCTGATTATTACAAGATCCCATACTGCCAGGATACAGACTTAGAAATCCAGTATCATGATCAAGTTCAAACTTTGGAAAAAACCCTTATTCCACTGCTTTGAAATTTCCCATATGATTCCTACTGGGTCTGAGTCTTCACTTCCTGTCCTGAATTACTGTCTAGCTTATATGTTCCTAAAGAGCTGCTGTATTCTACTGAAAAGTAGTTACTTCAGTAGTGGGTGATTAGCGCATGTGTATAAATGGAATTTTTTTTATTTAAGATTTTAGGATTTTGTTTTCTTGTCAAAGATTTTTATAAAGCAGAGAATACACAGCTGCTTATGTGTAATGTGACCCAATTCTAACTTTGCTTGCCTCCCTGGCAAGTGTATTTTACACATATACACAGAAGTTTATGTATTTGACAATGGGCGTGTTGCTTATTGACAGTACATTTGACTGCATAGCCAATCATCCCAAAAGCTCTAGTGACATAACCTGGGCAGATCTGAAGCTCTGTGAAAACTGCAGTGCTTCCTTCTGCTTCTTGATTTTCTGGTGTATCAAATTGGTATCTTAATCTGACATAGGTTTTTATAACCTATTGTCTTGATTTCTGTGTTTGTCTTAAGGGGGGGGGATGGGAAATTTGTATTTAGTTTACTTTGTATTGTTAGCACAATGATATTTCATTATGGTTTCAACATGCATATGATAAGCAGCAGTAATTTGTTCTCTGATTGCACTGTGGAAATTAAAATTTATATGAGGCACACTCACAGAATTAAACATTCAACTGATACTTAGTTCATGTTTGTTGTCTCCCAAGCTGAATATTACTTTCAGTGAAGACTGTACCTGTAAACTTACCATGCAAATGTAACTGTGTTTCAGGGACATGGATACCTCAGTGGTCTGTCCATCCCCCACTGGATAAAAATGCATTGGTGCTTTTCCCTCGTGTAATCCCGGAAGGAATAGTGCTGCTTGCCTTTTTCTGGCCCCCAACTTTTATTTTTTTTTTTAATTTATAGTGTTTGAGACTAGATCAATTCAACCAAAAAGAGCTATATTCAATAACCACCAACTTGAGGAAGGTGGATAATGGAAAGCCTTTTTCAGCTCTGATGGTCTAGTTAGCTGTGTAGCAAGTAGTCATTGCTATCATATGTGATAGTGTGGCAGATGAGTAGATAGATAAGTTAGTAGCAGTTGGTCTTTTCCTTTCCTCCACAGACAGAAAAATGTTTCCACTCACTATAGATAATGTAGTGCTGCAGTTTTACTTTTCAGTCTGTGCATGCATATGAGCGTGAGTGCTAATGTTAGCTGTGCAGTTAGGAGGTGTTTTCTGAGCCTAGGGCTTTGGGGCCACTGCTTGTGGCAGTTGAGGGATGGATTTTGTTGTGGTTTGAGCCCTGAGAGGTGTGGTTACCATGTGCATGAAAATTAAAGGTTTAGTGCAGACAGACATGTTGGAGTGTAGATTCTTGAGTGCTTTTGTCTTGTGAGAGCACTTAAGTGCAGAAGTGCAAGGTATAATGCATGTGGTTGTGGGGGAAGAACAGGGAGCTTCTGTGTCAAAATGCTGGGCGCATCTGTCTCTGGATCTGTGCATCCACACTGTGTTATTGTCAAATACCTATTTTTAGAATGAGTATCTAATTGGTATTCATGCAGATGAGTGTCTCCCTGTCTCATCTGATCCACTCCTCTGAGTGATGCACTTGGTGGGAGGTGTCTGCTGATGAATCTTTCCTAAGCAGAGTGTGTTCATGTCTGTCAGTTCTCTCTTACTGCGTTTCATCTGTTACATGAGCGTGTATGTAACTAAGTGTATGTGTTTGTGCATTTACCTTTTGTATGCACTAGCATGCTCAAAGTATCATCTAATCCTCTACAAAGATTAATTTCAAAATGAAAGATGCAGAACTTGCAGCCCTTCAAGACATCATTCTTTTTTGTTATGCAAAGAATAACTGCAGAGCAGTGCAGGTTGTGGCCATGGAAACTTAGCTACCTCAGTCCAGACTTCAAGGGATTGCTCCTGGTATAGTGCAGCCAATTATGAGTAAAAGTGATGATCTTTCTCCTGCCTTGACTACTACAAAAGACAGCATACAAGTTTGTGTGCTAAGTGTACAAGTTCATACAAGTTCATGCTGCTAAATATTTTCTTCATATAAAATAATTAGTGAGCAGAAAACCCTGAGTACAAGTGCTAGCCATGTTGGACAGGTGTGTTTTATATGGGGAAATATGTAATATTTATGAGAGGAAAGATCCAGAGTCTCTTTATACCCTGTGGTAAACTTGACGTGTGATTTTGGACAAGTAAGTTTTTATTGTGTCTCAGATTGGGGAAAATACTTGCTTGTTATGTTGTGAATTAAGGGATACTTAATAAAATTATATGTATATTTAGGAAAAATAGGTTATGGTAGGCAAAGCCTTAACTGTTATGAGCTTAATATAGTCTGTTCCACCTCGACATGGTAGATGTAATTATCTATATATAGTATTATGCATGATCTTGGTGTTTTAAAATGATACGTAATCCTAGCTCTAAGGAACAGGATTCATTATGTCACCTAATGCAAAAACAGAGGCTAGGCCTTACATAGAAGTTAATTTCTCCCCAAAATGATAGTCACAATCCTGAGTTTCCAGATGATCTAAATAAATTGTGGTTTGTATATGGCATGAAGGAGTATTCTCTTTTAGCTATGATTGTCCTCTTACCTGGCACAGTAAACCTACTGGATTATAGGTAATCCTTGTGAAGGGTCCCAAGGTTATATCACTTTTGCAGTAAAAGAGTGAATGTGATACAGCTGCTGAAAAGGCTCCATGTCTTTCGGGTAGGTCTTAGTTCTTTATGTAGGAACAGTTGGGATTCTCTGGGTAAGACTGTTTTAGCAGTGTTACCATCAGCACTGTCACAGCTGCTGTGAACAAGGATGGTCCTCTCAGAGATATGGTCATAGGTGATTTTGGATGATTCTTTCTGGCTGTGAATAAGGTACATGAAGTAGGATGATCTTCACACTGGTATTTGTGATAGGGGGAGAAGCAGGGGAGGAATGCAAATGGATGTTTCTGTTCTTAAGGTTCACCTTGTTTATATCTCAGGAGTTCCTTTCTCCTTTCTTTTCTCCTCACAGATACTCCTGCTTCCAGCATCATGGCCTCTGACCTGGAAAGCAGCCTCACTTCCATAGACTGGCTCCCACAGCTTACTTTAAGGGCTACTATTGAAAAATTAGGGGGTTCCTCACAAGCAGGACCTCCAGGGACTGCCCGAAAGTGTCCCCCAGGCTCACCAACCGATCCCAATGCCACTCTGAGTAAGGATGAGGCTGCAGTGCACCAAGATGGGAAGCCACGTTACAGCTATGCCACTTTGATCACGTATGCCATCAACTCATCACCTGCCAAGAAGATGACGCTTAGTGAGATCTACCGTTGGATCTGTGACAACTTTCCCTATTACAAAAATGCTGGTATTGGTTGGAAGGTGAGGACTTGCATTGCTAAGGTACCCTTTTTGTCTCATTACAAGAATTATTTTCTTAATTCTGTGCAAAATATCCTCATTGAGCAAAATATAAAGACAGATGTGAAACTAAGTTGACCAACTGGAGAAAATGCAGAGCCAGAAGTAGTTTGCTCTTGAGAATTTTGCTTTATGTGTGTCATGGCCCCTAAGAAGGAGTGTACAAAACCCCACCACCAACAACCAAGAAAAACAAAACCACCACCGCCCTCCCCCAAAAGCCACATCACTACCAACCTCTGCATCACACTGATAACTATTTTCATTGCACCTTCTGTAGATGTATGGGTGATTCAGCCCCATATTCATCCTAATCCATCCCTTTCCTTTATACAGCTGCTGTTCTGCTCCGTTCTGGGTATATGTAGTGAGCTTTGGCTTCTAAGTCTGCAGCATCCTTCTATTTTCTCTGCCTGCTCCCAGTCATACTCAGAAGGCTGTATGTTTTTGTTATAGCACTTACCTGTTTCTCTTGTTTTCTCCTCAGAACTCTATTCGCCATAACCTGTCTCTGAATAAATGTTTCCGGAAGGTGCCTCGACCAAGAGATGATCCTGGGAAGGTAAAAAATCTGCATGCTCCTAAGCAAGCAGTTTAAAACTGCAGGGAATAAGATGGGGTTGCCCTTTCTAACTCATGCTTGGAATGTGAAACCTAAAGTGTAGGCAAAAATGGAAGCAGTAGTAAGATTTACTGCAGTGCTTTGGCATTCACTTAAGGGGAACCTGTAAAGGGGCCTTAACAGTTTTAGCAAGTATTTCTCTTACCTGTTATCTTCAGTTGACTTTAAAGATACTGGAAGAAGTTAAAAATGGGGTTGAATGTACTTCATTAGTTTTGTTTCTTTTTCTTCTTGATCTTTATGTGTAAAATGTGGGTCTAGTCCACCCTGTTCTGTTATGAAAGTCTGTAGTGGCTGCTGGTGAATGGCAGGACTGTGATGTGACATTATGGGATTCCTGGAGGCAAGATCCATGGCAGTGAGAGCAGAACTACTACCTATTTAGGCTGCAAATTTTTGTGGGGTTTTTTTTGGGGGTAGGGGCGGAAATTCACCATAAGATAATTCAAATCTGTAGAAATGATTTACAAGTAAAACTCAAGAATTTAGGAAATTAATTTAGGAATTTAGCTGAGTAAAAGCTAATAAAGCTCTGTTAGTATATATAGATTGTAAAGGGGAATTGCTAGCAAAACCAATACTTGGCTTCTTGACATGCAGATATTACTGTTAAGAGAAAAAAAAACAAACAAACAAGCAGAAGAAGATGTTGGGGACAAGAAGCTGTGTATTTAGAGAGAAGCATTTTTTCCCTCTCCACCATCCTAAAGTTGCCAGAAAGGGCCACTTGCTCAGGCCTTTTACTTCAGGTTATATTTAAAGAACTAAGTGGTGTTCAGTTGGCATCTATAAATGGAAGTAGTATATCTTTGAAGATCACTGCTCAAAAATACTATTGATTATATGGCTTGTTCAGGGAAATCCTAACTGACTTCAGTGTACGTGTTTGCAGGTGTTCATTGGCATGTTGGGCTGGGTTTATAATTAAATCCGGTTCTGTGCTTGTCACTGATTCTTCAGATTTCAATTGGAGGTCAAAGTGAGCAAAATAACACTCTAGAGTTCTCTTTACACTTATTCAGAAAAAAAGAGACATACTTACAGACTGGTTTATGGTGAAAAGGACCTTTGGAGGTCAACATGCATCCCCATCCCAGACAGGGGCAATTAGATTTGGTTGTTGAAGTCCTCACTGAGTATTTAATATCTCCAAGGATGGAGATACCACAGCTGGGCACTTGTTCCAGTGCTGCACCACATCACTGTGGAGAAATTTTTCTTTATACCTGACTGTAATTGCCCTTGCTGTAACTTGTGTTTGTTGCCTTCTGTTCTTGTGCTGTGCATTTTTGAGAAGAGTTTGTTTGTGTGTTTGTTATAATCTCCTTACACAGTTGAAGACAGCGATTAGATCCCTTTAGCCTTCTGTGGTCCAGGTTAAACAGATACCTCTGTGTGAACGGCTTGTACATCACGTCTTTTAGTAACCATCACGGTGGCTTCTCTTTGGATGGGTTCTAGCATGTTAGCGTATGTTTTTCACCAGGAACCCCCCAAAATGGGCATAGTACTTAAAGTGGAGTCTCACAAGCATGGATTAAGAGCAGTCATTCTAGCCGTCTGTGCCCAGTCTGAACATTGAGTTTGTTCTTACCAGCTAATAACAAATTCATAGTGTAAGGAGAGTACTGAAGGGGACGTGCAGGCCCAAAACAATTGGCCTACCTTGGATCAAAACATCCTCTCCTTGGTGTCCCATCTCAGAGTGATGGAAGTGTAGACCACTCTGCCTTCCACCAGTAGTATCATACCTCAACCTCGCTGTTCAGTACAACCCAGTGCAAGAAAGAAATCTCTTTCCAACATGCAAGTCTTGGTTGTCTGATGTTCTGGAGGGTGGGCCTTGTGGTCCTAATGTTTAGTCATTGCTGCATTCTTTAAGCCAGTAACCTCCTGCTTCAGGAAGCTTCCTCATTTAGTCATACATTCACCAATGGGTTTTCTTTCCAGGGCTCTTACTGGACAATAGATACGTGTCCAGATATATCTCGCAAGAGGCGGCATCCTCCAGATGATGACGTAAGTGTTGTTCTTTACAGACAGCGTGAAGCAGGAGGGGGAATTCCCTTCTTGTTCCTACTAGTCCTTTCAACACTGGACCATGGTATCATTTTGGGACAGGGTATACAGATGGGGAGATCAAGTCTGGGACAGAATGAACTAGCATGTATATCCTTCCGATTGGCTGTTACTGCTGTTCAGCAAAAAAAATCTTGTTTAAAGTCCTTTATTCTGACTCTTCAGTGATTAAGGCCCAATCCTCTTTTCTAAGCCATGAACTTCTACAGTGGAGGAACTGGCTTCCCATCTGCAGTTTCACTTCTCCATCTCTTTTTGATTTCTGCTCCTTTCCTTTTCTCTTCCTTCCCCATCCACAGATACCACAAGACTCCCCAGAGCAAGAGGCAAGTAAAAGCCCCCGAGGGGCTGTTCCGGTCAGCACAGAAGCCTCTTTGCCACCTGAGGCCACCCCTCAGCTGTCACTCCAGAGCAACACCTCCATTGCCAACTATAGTCAGGTGAGCAGCACAAAGGATAGAAGCCTTATAGGGGTGGGAAGAGGAAGGGGGTGAAGCACGTGAATGGAGAAGCAAAATGGTGAGAATAGAGGGAGTCATGAAAATTGTGATACAGAGGCAAAAACAAAAAGAAGGGAAGAAGTTGAAGTTGCAGAGAAGGAAAATTAAGGAGGAAGTAAATTTTAACAAAGGGCTGGATGGGAATAAGGATAAAGGTATAATGGTATTAGACAGCTGAAGGAAAGGCTGAAGCCAGTGTGCTGCAGAGGGAGGGAGCTGGTTGATTTTTCTCAAGGCAAATGGCATTTGGGAAGATTTGATGGGAGACGAGCTAAGTGATGTGGGATATCAGTGCGTGTTCTACCTGTATCTAGTCTCCAGATCCCTGTCTCAAGTTACAAAGCCTAGTACAATCTAAAGGCCTTCCTTCTACCTTCCTTAGCAGGGTGCAGGGCCCGTGGATGTTGCCTCTACTGTAGCAGGGGGGCAGGGCCGTGAAGGGGCTGATGTGCCACCCCCACTGTACAGTGCCAACCATGACTTCAAGTTCTCCTACTCTGAGATCAACTTCCAGGATCTTAGCTGGTCCTTCCGAAACCTCTACAAATCTATGCTGGAGAAATCATCTTCTTCTCAGCATGGTGAGTAACTGTATGCGTCATGTGGGGTGGGCAGGTATCTGCCCACACAGTCTTGTCCACCGATCTATCCTTGGTATCTCTCAGATCTTTCCTCGTTTTTAGGAGCCTGTGCAAACAGACTTTCCTTGTTTGGCATGCTGTAATTAGTTCTGCCAGGAGCAGATAAGAAATCTGCATGTCTTTTATCTATTGCTACCCCCAGTTCTCTCAGAATAAAGAGGATAATGATTTAAAAATACCTTGTGTTGATACGAAAGCAAATACTAAAATGGCAGAAGCTTAGAGAAAAGCATGTAGGAGAAGTATTCACAATGTCAGGCTAGAAACCGTAAGAGGAAGGGGATTGTTGCATGTGGAGTTTCTCTAAAAGGAGAGTGGAAAGTTGTCATTGCTCAGCTCTGTTAAAGCTAGTATTGTACAAGGCCCTGGAGAATTGAGCTTTGTGGATTGAGAGTGCGGATGAGATCCTACAGCTCCATTCATAGCTTACATTTCTGGGATTGAGGAAGCAGCCACAAGAGTGGAATATGGTAGATGTCCACGGGAAACAAGAACAATCTACAGTTGCTATTCTCACCTTTAAACACTCTTATAAATATTTGTCTGGTGTAAAAAGGAATACATTATTACCTGTGCCATCAGACATCATACAGGGCAGGCAGTTTTCTACTCTAGGAGGAGCCTCTTGTCTTGTAGCTTCAGTGAAATAAAAAGGTATTACTTTTACTGCTTTCATCATCCTGGCACTTGAGATTCCTGTTGTGTGACATACTGTAGAATGGACAAGCTACAGAAATGCAGAGAACCACCTCGACTCAGTGTGTGCCTCCATTACTAAAACTCAGCAGAGGTCAGGTTTTTTTGTCTTCAAGTCTTCAGCTGTAAGGTAGCCTAGGAAAACGAGTTTCGAGGGAATTTTGGGTCAGGGTGGGCAGTATTCATCCTTTTGCCACATCACAGTAGTAGTAGGCTCTAAGGGTTGATTTTGAATTTAGTGAAAGACTGATGCTTGCTTGGGAACGGTTAAGTAAGGGCACTCAAAGTAGGCAATAGGTAGCTCAGGTTAGTGGCGTGTAATGCCCTTTACTGTGATTTTTTCTTTTTTCCCCTGGAGATTCCACAATGTAAGGGGAGAAGCACAGGTTTGGGAGAGCATGGATTACTTTGGTAAACATAGGAAAAATCCAGGGAGGAATTTAAGTTCCTAACTTTGTACTAGAATAAATCTTGTTGGGGCTTTGTTGTAGAGCTTTTGTTTTGAAGAGAATCTGGAGCAACTGTGCAGGTGATAGTTGTTAGCAGCCTGTAGAGGGCACTCCAAAAGCTTCATAAATAGCAGGATGAGCAGTGTGAAATTGGAGATGCATAATTTAAGCAGAGGTCTAATCCAGGAGGCTCTTAAAGTTCCCTCCTTTTCCTTTTACTTGGCAGGTTTCTCTTCTCTCCTTGGTGACATGCAGCCTTCCAACCACAACTACTACATGTACCAGCAGCAGCAGCAGCAGCAAGGCCCCTCATCAGTGGGTGCTGCTCCCCCACTCCACACTCCAACCCCAGAGGGTTGCCCATCCCAAGGGGCAAAACAGCAGGGTGGTGAAGGTTATGGCCCTCCACCAGTGATGTCCATGCACCCACCCCCAATGCAGCATGGAGGCTACCACCAGCATCAGCAACATCACCCACACTCCCACCCACAGCAGCAGCCACACCAGCACCAGCAGCAGCAGCAGTCACAGGCTTCAATCAACAATGCTGGCTTTGGTGAGTCGGGGGCAAGGGAAAGAACATCCAGGGAAAAGGGAACAGTGAAGAAGCCCCCAGACAGAAATTCCACAAGTGAGCTTTCCATAAGTAGTGCCTATGTTGTGTGTGGGAAAAGGGTGAAAGCCAATTACAATTGAAATCTGAGAGGGAAAATCCTTTCTTACTGATGGAAAGGAGGATACATCCACATTGGTTTTGCGATTCTGTTCAGGGATGCAGAATTAAGTCAGAGGCTAAATGAAAGGGGCACCATCCCTCGTCTTCCAAGGCAGAAAGGATTGCCAGTGACTTGTAGCATCAGGCTCTTTGGTGAAGAAGGGCCAATCATTTTTTATTAAGGGGCGGAGGGAAAGGGCAGTCTGTATTGGAATAATCTTGTCCCCATTTCATTCCAGCATTTCCCCCTGATTGGTGCTCCAACATTGATTCCCTGAAGGAAAGCTTCAAGATGGTAAACCGGCTGAACTGGTCTAGCATTGAGCATTCCCAATTCTCAGGTCAGTGTTGGCCTAGTGACTGGGTCTAGTGATTCAGTGACTAGGGCTGTAGTCCAGAATGTGTGAGTGCTGGGCCCAGCTCTTTGGGTTTTTTTCCAATGTAACAGTGTCAAGTCCACAGGTTTCTCAGGGAGTCAACTCTTCTGTGTGTAAAATGAGGTGTCCTGCTTCGTGGGTTTTGTTAAAGACCCTGAAACTCTTGAACACTGCAGGAGTTTGGGGCAGAGGGAATTAATTCATACAGGTACATCAGAAAGCTAACTCAGATTTTTCCCTTCCCACCCCTACCTGAGTCAGTGAGACAGTATCCTAGATATGGAGTTTGGTGACAGATTCAGCTCTGAAGTTGGGCTTGTGGGGAGAAGGTAGGATTTAGGGGTAGAAGACACAAACTCTCTGCAAGGAAGACCACAGTGCGAGTGCTGTCTTTGACATTGTCCTTTGTCCCCTGCAGAGCTGATGGAGAGTCTGCGCCAGGCTGAGCGGAAGAACTGGACGCTGGATCAACATCATATTGCCAACCTCTGTGACTCCCTTAATCACTTCCTTACCCAGACTGGTCAGCTCCCTCATCTGGTTGGCCCACAGCAGCCCCCCCGAATCTCTGATTCTTGTGCCCTGAACAGTGGCAAACAGGAGCAATCCATGAATCAAGGTAATTAGGAGGGAGACTAAAATGACATTTAATTAAGGACCAGTTCTGTGAGTATCCTGAATACTTGCAGCCTTGCCAGGCAGCGTAGCGGCGAGCAACTCAGGGCTAGGCCGTTAGAGCTGTTCATAGCAAGTCAGCTTCCTCTGGTGTTAAAGAATTAGTATGTCCTATGGCTGTGGCATGGGCAGGCCATTGTGATGCTTACAACTGACAGGCAACCTCTCCAGGCAGAAATACGTTTGAAAGGTAAACCCATAAAAGGAGAAGGGGGGTGGGGGTGGTTTTTGGGTTTTTGTAGGGGACTAACAGAAAGGAATGGCAAGGCAAAGAGATTGCTATTCCAGATTACAGGAGCTGTAGGAGCTGTAAAGAAGAAAGCTCTTGCATCCTTATTGGGGAAATACTGGCTGGACAAGAAGTAGAAGGATTCACTGTGAATTCTTTGAGAGTTGAGCACAGGGGATGTTGGAACTGTGATGGTGTGTGTTGTCTAGTAGACAGTTAAATGGATGATACTGAGCCAGCTTGTGGTGCTTCTGGATGAAAATGTTCTTCTTTTACGATAGTAGAGAAACTCCTGCTGGCTCCAAGAACAAGATCTCTGACCAAGCTATAGCTTGCAGATAGGACCCAGCAGCTGAATATCTCTCTCAGTATCCTGTGGGTCTGAGCGAGTTGCTTTGTGGCTGAGCCACCACTCAGTCAGGGCCAAGACAGCTGATCAGAACCTTGACAGTTTGGGATTTTTTGGGTTGGGGTTTTTGGGTGGTTTGGGGTTTTGTTTGTTTTCTTTCTCTTACTTTTATTTTTGTTTTGTTGATTTCGTTCTGGGTTTCTTTTACTCCTTTCACAGTGAACTCCTATGGCCAGCCCCAGCCCCCCCATCTCTTCTCCGGGCCATCTCCTATGTACCAGATTTCCACCCAGGACTCTCCGGGATATAATCGCCCAGGTAAGGGGTGGCATTACAGGTAAGGGGTGTACAGCTCTGGTGCCCCCAGGATAAGGACATGGAGCTGCTGGAGCAAGTCCAGAGGAGGTCCCTGAGGACGATCAGGGGGCTGGAGCACCTCCTGTATGAAGACAGGCTGAGAAAGTTGGGGCTGTTCAGCCTGGAGAAGGGAAGCTGCATGGAGACCTCAATATCTTAGAGAGCCTTCCGATATCTGAAGGGGGCCTACAAGGATGCTGAAGAGGGACTCTTCATCAGGGACTGTAGCGATAGGACAAGGGGTGATGGTTTCACATTTAAACAGGGAAAGTTCAGGTTGGATCTAAGGAAGAAGTTCTTTACTGTGAGGGTGGTGAGGCACTGGAACAGGCTGCCCAAAGAAGTGGTAAATGCTCCATCCCTGGCAGTGTTCAAGGTCAGACTGGACAGAGCCTTGGGTGCCATGGTCCAGTGTGAGGTGTCCCTGCCCATGGCAGGGGGTTGGAACTAGATGATAAAGTCCTTTCCAACCCAAACCATTCTGTGATGCTACAATTAAGGTGTATTATACTATGGAACATCAAAGAACTGGTTCTCAAGCCCTTTGTGCATTTCTCCCAAAGCACTTACCAATCAAATGGAGCACTGAGGGTAGAGAGGGAGCCTGGATTACAAGGGACACTCCATTTAGGGCTCCGCCATAGCCCCGGTGAGGTTTAGGATTTCAGTGGCCTGATTCCTTTCTCTTCACATAAAGAGTCTTCTAGCTCAGCCTCAACCTCTGTTGCTTGAAGGCAGCTTTACACAAGAAGCCTCTGCTGTTGAAGTCCTCTGTGCTCCTTCAGCAGTCAGCTGTAAGGAAGGTTAAGGAGGCTCAAACTTAACCTCTGTAGAAGCTGCTATGGAGAATTTCATAGCAGACCACCTACAAACATTGGTAGGTGCTGTCTGACAGAGAATATCATGCCAGTAGCGTTCTTGCTTGTTCAGCTGTTGGAAAGGAGAAGGTCCAAATCTCTTACTCTTGCCTTTGCCCAGGGGCCCACTGTGAAGAAGCATGACATTTTTTATTCTAACTGTTCTCTTTCCTTTCTGTTCTATTTTTCTCTTGGTTTTGGGCAGCTCACCATCTGGTCCCTCGGCCTCCAGGGCCTCCTCCAGGCGCCAATGAGGAAATCCCCGATGATTTTGACTGGGACTTGATCACCTAACGAGTTACAGACTTGATAGCCCGTCCTTTGTGAAGGACGCGGGAGGGGAGGGGGACGTGGGGTCACTGGTGCCAGCACCACCCTCCCCAGCCTCCCTGCCTTGCCTGTATATAGATATATATTCTCTATCTCCGCCAGAGAAGCCACCGCAAGATGCTGCCGAAGATAATCCTTCCTTGCGTCCTGTTTTATCTTCTTTTTCTTCTTTTGTTTATTATTATTATTATTGTTATTATTATTACCAGTAATTGAGCACAGCCCTCCCCCTCCTCTGGTGGCCTTGGACACATCAGATTGGCTCTTTCGTGTTGTGTGGTGCCCTGTGGAGGGCGGAAAGATGGGTCCTTGGTGCCATGAAAAGACCTTGGAAGGCTGAATCCTTGAGTGCATCTTTCTCTGCCTCCGTCATTTTGCGTTTACAA